ATGTCATATGGCAATAGATCTCCTGAAAAATCAATGATTCAGGAAGTGCTCGCGCGAAATTCAAATGTTATTGGAAGATTTTCTAGCCATTTTTCTACTAAATGACATCACACAGCATCCTAATAAGGCGCTGTTTATCGACGGGGGGGGGGCATTCTGCTTTTCATAGATTTGCCAACCCATCTAGGTACCTTTTTTCGAGTGACACATTTTAGGATGGTGGCTAACAACTTGCTGCAGCTTCACAAAGCGCTCACAAGATACGAGTGAGATTGAAAGCCAGGAACAAGCGGGAGCAACGATAATACAAAATGCCCCCGCCCACCGTCGATATAACAGCGCCTTCTAATAATTCTGGTTTGCTAGCCCGTTTTGGCTTCCTTTATTTCCGGTATGAGAGGGCACGTTAACTTCCGGGCAGCCTTGTCGCTGCGCGATGATGAAGCGGGCCAAAGGGATAAGGCGAAAGTCAGCCGGTTTATTCCCCTTGTTTCGCTTCGGGAAACGACGGAAATTGTAAGCATATCGTTCACCATGGTCGTTTCCACCAAATACATGTCGCTTACCGCTTCATGACAGTGAAGACACGGCGCTGGAAGCGCGCCAAACCCAGCCTCCACTGACACCGCCACATTTACTGCGAACAACGCTGCTGACTGCCCGGGCCATTTTTGAGGAAATCCATTAACTCCCAGTAGAGCATTTTACACACTTGAAGCCAAAGAAACAAACGAGAAACATTTTTTCTGGACTAGGTGGACCATTCTCGAAAAACATGAAAACACTGATCTGATATCTATGCTGCCCGCCCCGGAGCTCTTCTTCCCCTGGTCATCAGGCAAAAGTTCCTATCAACCCGTGCGTTCAAAGTTTCTCTCTCATCAATTAGAATTTAAAAACTGCCACATTAAAGAAATTTGCAAAACGACGTTCTTACAGGAATTCGGTAGGGCTCTAAAGTAGCCAATCCCAGCCAGCGCCCAATTTCATGATTATTTAGAAAAAGTGTTCCAAGTGAACATGAAGGTTTCCAAGGTTACGCAATACCATCCCTTCCTCAGGTATCATATACTACATATGAACTAAAGAGTTGCAGTTCCCAAACTCCACTCAGGTATTCGCAAATGCCTTGAGTCACAATTATCTTTTGGCTGATAACCCTCTGCAGCTAAGGTATCACCACGTGGAGAAAACGTGTGGTCATGAGGAGATAGGTCGTTCCGAGTGATGCAATGAAATGAAGAATATTTTGGATCCGTAGGTCTGGTAAAACATGCTATCAGGCTAGACTTCAGTTTAGGAGCTACACCTCCATGCTGACTATTCGGTGGGGATTGTGACACTTGATGGTGAAAAATATTTGATTTGCTGGCCGCGTCGACCTTCGGACCAGAAAGGAACCCTTGGGACGTCAAGAGAACACCATAAAGACCGTCAGACCGATGGTCAGACTTAGTCATGGAAGCTTTTCACGGAAAATACGAATAGTGCTCTTGTCCTTCAAGCGAGTAGAGGCCCTGGACCACTTTAGCTCGCCCTAGGGACGAGTGGGAATGATTGTTAGCACCCATTAAGAGAATCACTAGGACAGCAGGTGATGCGTATCACATCGAATAAGCTTCAGCGGGTTCATTTAGCCTGATAGGCATACCCTATTAGTGCGCTTCTCCTTTTAATAGGCAACGCATCACTACGTAATACAGAATACTTCCGACTAGTACGCCCCAACGACAGTGTGCTCACTGCTTTGGAGAAATCCAGTGGTACATAATACTATTATATAGAGACAATTAATACAAACAAGAGAAAATCTGTTCTTAGGGACACATAAATTTACGAGAAATATAAAAAATTGAAGTTTACAAATAAAATATCTAGAACACGGTGAGAAAGAAAAGGTAAACAAACCTTATTGGCAGACTTGTTCTTCGCTTCAAATTGGGCTTGAATGTAGGCGGACGCCTCGTGGTAATCTTGTCGACCTGTGAAATGACAGGTAAATCATCTGCACTCATTCAAATGACAGCGTAAACGAATGGAGCAATGGCAAGTGGTAGTCCTTTAGGGTGGGAGTCAAGTTTCATGACAAAGTAATTTCCATAGGAACATCACGCGCGGTGATCACTGTAGAGTAAGGTACCGCAGAGACACCCCCATTATCAGAAAGGGGTCTCATCTTCATCAAACTGATTGTGTGACCATCTGAAGGTAGCCACCTTACCGATCGGGAGCTCTGGGTGCCGTCTTCTAACGTCATGCTTGATCCGGTGGATCAGATCGCAGGACCAATTCACACAGTTGAACTGGTGCTGGGCTCTTGAGGGTCTCCAGAGCACAAAACACTGGTGTATATATTGGTTGGCCCCTAAAAGCTGCTACGTAGTCTAGGTAAGCATCCAAATGCTAGGGCAACTCTGTACGTGAAAGTCGAATTCAGGAAAGGGCCCATTCTGCAAAGGCCCCGTGCACGTTGAATGCCGTATCCCTTATGCCCGTTCACTTATGAAAGGAAGTATAAGCTCCCTCATGAAAGCAAGATAGACGAGGGTTCTGCACGGATACGGTAGGCCGCTTAAGGTGAAAGTTATTATAATGGAGCTAAATGTCCATTAAATACCTGAATATTCTGCGGAAAATAATGCGTGAGCGGGCTTTTTCTTCGATTTTTCTCCTCAAAGAGATCTTTTTTGTTCAAAAATAGAATAATTGACGTATCCGTGAACCATTTATTGTTGCAAATCGAGTCGAATAATTTCAGAGATTCGTGCATTCGATTCTGAAAAAAATGGTGCATTAATTAAATGTGGACGTAATATGCTCTGTGTAAAATTTCTGGTTTTCCTGTGGTAGAGTAATGGTAAGTGTGCTGCTATCACGTGCATAGTCCTGGAGTTCAATTCTGGATCCAATCCTGCTTGTAGCTATTTGTATAAAATTTCCCTCAACTACAATGCGCTGAATCCGAGGAACATTTGATGAGGGGGTCGCCTGTGAGTCACTCTGGAGAGAGTCATATATGGTCTTGAGGGGTTCACTGTCTTGTATTTCGCGGATGATAGGGCGTATCAGGAGGCTGCGCCAAACCCAACCTCTTGATACGCCCCATCATCCGCGAAATACAAGATGCCCCCCCCCTCGTTACAAACAAGTTGGGAAACTATCTAGACATGAGAAGCAATAAAGGACCTAATTTCTGATCTCAACTATATTCATGTTTTTCTTTTACAAAAAGCTTTCGGCATGAAGACAATTTTTCCATTAACGTCAATTTATTGAATTTTACAGGGCTTATTTTGCAAAAACTCAAGGTATTCTTGCAGGCCCAGGATGTATGCTGACCATGCACTCCATGTCGCATAGAGGGGGCTGTGTGCTTTACATGAACAAGCCGCGACTGCATTTTCGGTAGCATATTGCCGTTTTGAAACAACGGTGGTCACCTCCGTCCTACAGACGACATGGGAAAACCATCTCAAATGGGAAAAACCCCACGGGGAAAAACATCTTTTGCCATATTTAAAGACAGTGGGCACGTCTGGGGCGGGCGGTTACTGCCAACGTCATTGATGGAAGGGATGCGAGATGACGTCTGACTACACCCCTTCCACTCAGTTCTTCCACGAGCGGCGTTGGCAGCAACCGCCCAACCATCGTGTCAACTGCTTCCGAATGAAAAAAAACAGGCACGCCCTTATCATGGGGTTGTGCAGGGTCCTTTGTAGGTGAACGTTTTTGAAGTCGAAGAGTTTGTTTCCAACATTTCGGTGGAATGGGGGGGGGAGTTAAAGACGGACGGCCAATTTTTTTCTCTTCGCCATCATGTGCCCTTGTGATCGCCTTTAAACGAAATTTATATGAAATACATTTGAATGAGGGATAAGTGCAGTACTTGTGCAATTTCGATCAGTAATGACGCTATTCACTGACATCTCCCACGCCTTTGACGTCATCACGATTAGCATTAGAATAGAAATTATGAATATATTCAAAGCCTTTATAGGATGTGTTCTTAGAATGCACTCAAGAGGGTAAGCAAAATATAAATTCAATGCAAAACGAGACCAGAAAGTAAACATTTGCACGGGAACGTGTGTCAGAGCATCTGTTGATGGGTTTCAAAACGCTCATATGCATAAGTACACGTTATCAAGG